CCTTTGTTGATACAGAAAATTATCAGTATTTCCAAAGTGTCGAAAATATCCACACACAGTGCATTGAGTATCTTCCAACATTCCATAAGGGATTTTCTCCTTGTGTGATAACACATTCTTTATTTTCTCAGAAAAAAACCCGGCACCAAAGGGTTGAACTACCCTGTACCAAACTAATGTACGATTGAGATATAGAATGAAGAAGAAACATTTCCTAATATCCAACAATACGAATAGTGAAAAGTCCAATGAGTTTGTTTAGTTTACTTTACAATGAATGTGAGCAAACATCATCAGGTATTATCTAACAAAAGACGTTGAAGAATACAATCAAGAATGATATAGCCATAACATACATAAATGGTTTCAGCAAATTCTCGTTAGTTGACTACAACACAATGTTTGACTATTGTAAGTTCTTTAAGTATTTGTTGATGATGATATAGTCTATTAAATAAAAACAATCAATTTATTGTTTATTTAATCAACAATATAAAGTTCTTAACCTCGTACTCTGAATTTCATCGATTTGATAAATAAAAATGTGTTTCATTTGATGAATTGGCTAATGATGATGCAATTGTTTGATGTGCTTTTGATATTGGCAATGATGAAACATAGTTAACAATAAGAAAAAAAATTTGATTTATATGACAAATAGAATAAAATTTTTCGTGCTTATAGTATTAGCTGCGTTGAATCCTGAGCATGTTCGTGATTTATCTCTTGGTTTAGTATCAATTGCTACAATAAAATCATTCATTAAATTACAAAAGAAATACGTAAAACTTGAATTTATTTCGTTGATATTGAATAGTTTCAAAAACAAATAAATTCGCAATTTGAATTAAATACTCATTCATTGGAAGATTTTTTTTCTAGTTTTTCATTTTTGTTACGACTAAATGCTTCTAATGATCTGTTGTTGTTTCCTTAAAGAAAAAATTCGAAACTGTCTTCAATAGAATACAAAGTTGTGCAACTACTAGGATGGATGCGGATGAAGGTGAAATGAATGCTCACACCCATTCTCATTAGATTGCTTGTATTCGGATAGCTTCTGTATGTATGTCAGGATCCGTCATAAAAGACTTCACAAGATAAGGAGATCTGCAATTTTGCTATTAATTACAATCTCTAATCTCAAGTTTTGACACTCAAAACTATAACTTTCTTTTCACAATGACAGATGGCGTTTATTTACGCTACAATAAGAGCTACCGTTATCGGTTTCCACCGACTGATCACCACCGACATATAGGAGTTCGAATAAAAACCATCTGACGGACCATGCAGCAAGATTGAAACCGGTTATGGTAGTTCTTACTGTAATTCATCTATAGAATGGTCCTTTTGCAAACAATGGTCCAAATATAGATAAAAGGTTGATTCTTTCTCTTTTCTGTCCGTCCAAGACGCACATACTTATTGAGCGTGTTCTTAATGTGTTCATCGTATTTCAACATGTCGACAACAGAGAACATTGAGAAGAACCAGATGTCGATTGTTCCTCTGTCAAAAGGTCAAGCGTCTATGAACTCGTGTTCGACGACAACAACACTCGAGTCCATGTCAAATGAAATTCTTATGGAATTATTCGAATATTTTGATTGGTATTCTCTATATTTCATATTCTCATCGCTTAACTCTCGTTTCGACTCTGTTCTCACTTATGTTCATAACATCGATGTTAATCTAGACTGTATTCCTTCGAACAGGATTTTGTCATACATCATTCGACACCTTCCTTCACTCGATCCACATCGGATTAGATCTTTTAGGTCGTCTATCAAGTGTCACAGCGAGCTTGTACTACGTGATGAACTTGTTGTCAACCATTTCTCGTGCATTCGTTCACTCACTCTATTGAACATCGATGAAGAAATGAATCGTCTATTCAATATTGCAATATATCATCTTGCAGTGAATCTTGTTCATCTCTCTTTGTCGTATGTTAAATCAAATTGTTCGTATATCTTTCTCTCCATATATTCCAAACTGCGTCAATGCCTCTTGCCGAATGCAACATTTTCTTCAGAGCTTATTCATCTTCAACCGAACACAGTCCAATATCTTCAAATTAGTCATAATCAAAGTCTAATACACGAGGTGGCCACCATACTTCTTGCTCATTCGCCTCATCTTCGACGACTCAATCTGCACGTGGCGAGCGATATTAATGAGTCATCGAATATACGACCTTTTGTTCGTCCTTCCTCTCTTCCACCATCGGCGCTCATCCATCTGACTGTGCAATCGTCTTTGTTGGTTTTCTTGTCGATCGAATGGCTACTTGCCTATGTACCTCGTCTTCGAACTCTTCATGTTCGGGTGATGTCATCTTGTGAACGGATGGTCAATCCGAATGAATGGAAACGAGTTTTGCCATCCAATCTTACCCGACTCGATGTCAAAGTGGAAGCGAAGGACTTAGCCATTTTGCCGTTGGAAATTTCCCAAGAAAACAATGATTTTTGGCAATCGCGACAGTGGATCGTCACGATTGTCGTCGATCCATTTCCCTATCTTCATATGCACAACTGAAGATGCACCGACCTATTCATCCCGTGTTTTAGTGTTCAATGTGCGTTGAATAGTCTCCTCGTATTTACTTCTCTATGGATATTCTTATGCAAATTCATGTCGATTGACTGTAGTAATTCTCTTTCCCATATTGAATGCTTGGAAAACTGGTGCAAACAAGTGTCAATCGTGAGAATTTTTAATAAAGTACTTTCAACCTTTATCACTCTCTTAAGATAGCTTGTAGGTCGTCAATTTCGACGATCGAATCAACAAACATTGTTTTTCGCCTAATTGTCTCGACAAGAGAAAAAAACTGTTTAATCTTTCGTTTTCGAAAAGATCAGTAATGTAGCAGAATTATAGAGAGTATAAAGGAATTCATCTTTACATATAATATCTTATTGGATCGGCTGTTGAACTAACACGACAAATAGATTCTAGATTCCTATATCGCTTAGTCTTTACGTTGAGAAAAAAACCTTAATCATATTATCGTTTGATTGACAAGTTTCGGAAATACACCATAAAAAAGTGTTACATAAGGGTGATATTCTTTTATCTTTTGGGCTACATTAAAGTACTCACTTATATAATCAGCTGTTCAATTTGTTTCAACAAATATTAAACAACGTTCAGATTCTAAACAAAAAAAAGCTAAATTTCGAAATAAAAATCTTTTTCATACTAAGATTTTGTTCAAGTAATTGAAAAAGGTGATCTTTTTCAAATGCATTTGGCACTTCTTCAATAGTTTGCGCTATATCTTCATTAGTAGCATCAGGTTTACCAACAACAAGAAAGATATAATTACTACGTATAAAATGTTGAGCTAATAATGAAATTGAACTAAATAAGAGAAGTTTTTTTTCAGACTGATTGGTTTGATCAAGAACGAAATATTTCACTTTTGTTAATGAAATCTTTAATAAAAATTTAAGATTATAATATTAAAAACTAAATTAAATTTACTCTGTGTTTTTCAAGCATATCTTTAAGACGACCGGTAGGAGCTGATAGAATATGACAACCTTCTCGAAGACGATGGCAAATATCAAACATATCATGACCACACCAACAGCAGAACCTATCTAGCACATAACAATGATAGAAAAAAAAAAGATAATTTTGTTTCTTTTTATAACGTACAAAGTATTACAGCAGTTTGATATGCAAATTTTCTTGCTTCACGTTCTGTTTGTAAAGCAAGTTCACGTGTAGGTGAAAGAATAAGACAAAGAGGTGACGGTGGATCATGTTTATCATGTAATTCATTTGAATAATATTCAATTAAATTTGAAATAATTGGTAAAAGAAAAGCAGCCTAAATAATTAATTAATATGAAAATCAAACTTACTGTTTTACCGAAACCAGTTTGTGCACACGCTATTATATCATCTTCTTCTCGTATACAAGGTATTGTGTAACGTTGAACAGGCGTTGGTTCTTCAAAATGAACACGACGAATATTTGATAAAACTTGTGTATCAAGATTAGCTTGTTCATAGAATTCAATTGGTTTTGCTTTGCTTATTAAATCATTTTTTGATCAAAGAGAAGAAAAAAAAGATTAATTACCTTCAGGTATATAACGAACTTGTGTTTGATGATATTTTCCAAAATTTTCAGCTTTTTCTACTACATCATTGGGGTGTGGGTGATTGATGATATTGATTAACAAGCAACCAACACCCATGACCACACCCACCCACACTCCACAAGATGAGAAAAGTCAATAATCCAAGATTTTTCTACATATTTCTCTTTTTGTTCGTTTACATTGGAAACCATCAGACGACTGAGTAATGGAAATGAACGTGAAATTTGAGCAGAAAACTTATGTTTGAATGGATAGAAATCGTCCTTCATACGCAGAACACGAACATTGATGAACATACCACCAGCAAAACTGTGCATTATATGACACATGCGTTTCGTATGGAATGGAAGTGAATAAACATGACATCGACCTGAATTATAAAATTCATAGTCGATATAACAATCAACATGATATCCTCTTTCCGTGAATGTAGGTCGAATATCATCAGGTGTTGACTTAGGTTGTTGCTCATTAATGCTGACATATTCAGTAACAATATCGAAGTGAAATGTATATAGATGTGGCATTTGACTGAATATATAATTATTCAAATAAGTACCATCAATGAAGGAATTTTTCCCACCAACACAGAGAGATAAGGTAAGCTTTTCCAGATGTCTCATTCGACGAAGAAGAGGTATCACTAGACTATCAAATTCAGTTGTTCTATGATATGCATGCATGGAAAAACATTTGAGTCGAAGTGGATTAGTCTATGAAAAAAGCAAAACAGAACTAAGATATTGTTATTTGTTCAATGATATATTGAATCAATAGATCAACTAGAAAACGATTGCTTTGGAGATATTCTTATACTTTTTTTTTATGGATGAGCATCAAGGGTATCGTTTTTATTTTAACATAGCTCAAGAATAAACTGAAGTATTTTGATAGTTATCCGTATTATTCTCCATCTCAATGGTGTAACTAATTTCATAAAGAAATACAATTTTTGTGGAATCATCTTAAGAACTGAATGACTTTTTTTTAATGAAATAAATAATGAATAAACCATGGCACAATAACTCAAGAATGTATTAGTGAATACGTCATATTAGTGTTCCAAAAACAAATTACTGCAAGATTTCTGAATCTTCATTTGTCCGAAATCGCTATATTTTTAATAACTGTCTTTAGAGATGATTAATTCAACGGTTCTAGTCGAGACTGAAATAAAAGCATTCCTCTCCAATCGAATATAGTTCTTTACCATATTATTCATGATTTTCAATGAATGACGTATAATCTTTTGCGAACGTAGTCTGATCTGTACTGAATCATGGATATAATGAAGAATGATAATCAATGTATGTAATTGACTAAGACGACCATCAAGTAAATAAAGACAATCATAAATGTTGTGCACTTTGTTACTTAAATGAACAGTACTGGATGAACAACGTGTTGTAGATGGTAAAGCAGTTAACAACGATCGGGAGAAGGATGTGGGTATGGGTGTCAATCTTCACTTTAAAATCCTTCTCTGCGCACACACCCACCCATACCCTCCGAGGTGAACTTAATCTATGACAAATGGTAAAGATGTTTCATACGCTGCTACTACTAATAATGTCTTATTTAAGTATCATATCTGACCATAAATGGTCATATATATCAGAGTAACGATAATAATGGCAGAGAATTGTAATTATCGGCCGCAGATAAACTATTTGGCAGAGCATGCAGTATACCGGTCATACATGGAACCGGTACCGATTACTGACCAGATGTGGGTGTGGGTATGAGTTCGGTGAAAAGATAAACACCCACATCCTCAACTTACTATTCCTTTGTTTTGATGATTTCATGAAGGAAATTGTCCTATTGAAGAAAGATTCTCTTTAGGATAGTATTCTGCGCTGGTAGAATGATATAAACTTCGCGAAATGATTTCATCACATGCCTCGTGACTATATTTAAGCATATCTGTTTAAAAAAGAACCTGAGGAAAGAAACATGATTTTAAAATGCAGGAATCTTGAAAGCTCTTCAGTTTCGTATAAAAGTCGACGGAAAATTATTTTCTTTTCTCTACTATATGATTCTTAGGGTGATGCAATTCAGAAAATCTTTGGTTTCTCCATATAACCTCTTCTAGTAGGTGTTATTGTAATTATAATAATGTCCCTCGGAAGGGACATGCGGATTTTAAGGATTAACCTAAATTATAATCTCTATGTTCAATCGGTAATTGCAGTGAAAAATGTTCTTTAGAAAAAACGTTAGTGAACGCTTTCATTGCAACATGGAAGCTATCTTGTCCATAATTATCGCGTTCTAAGTTGACATGAATACACTGTACATTTCTAGGCAAGTATTCTCAAATTTTCCATACTTTTTCGGAATGCTTTCCGTTCAGTCAATAATCCTTCTTTTTTTTAAATGGAATGGTTTCTTAACCGTTCCTAAAAATTTCGAATGATTCTGATTTGTTCTATCTCGGAACGATCAAAAATGAATTCAGTTCCACCAAAATCGCTTTCTTTGGTGAAACACCTGAGAATAGATTCGTCAAAGTAATGAATGCTTCTCAAATGATGAAACATTATTCTTCAAATTACAAAAATGTTTTCTGTAGCGTTCTTCGGGTTTCACATAAAACATTCTCCAAATCTTTATACGTAAATTTGTTTATTCATTCTAAAATAGTCATGTTTTAGGGTTGAAGAAAATACTTATATTTAAAAATGAAATGGATAATTTTCTAGATAAATATTTATTTATTGTTTAATATACACTTCTCAACGTTTTGAAAAAGACCCATTTAGATATGGAAAGAATTTTAAAAAGTTTTACAAAAAAAGTTCGAAAATGTATTTTTAAAACTCTTTCTCTTGTAAATATAGGTTAATTCTTTTTAAGTATAAATACAATTTTTATTTTACTTTATAATATTGGAATCCTATTCGAAACCATTTGATTCCTATATTCGATGTATATATTTTTTTACATTTAAATGGTATTTTCACTTTATAGTAAATTCGTAAAATTAACCGAATAGATAACATCTTAGACTAACATGCAAAGCGTGAGGTGTGGGAAGATGTACAATCAGAAACATACGCTACACACCCCACTCTCTATTATTTCTCTTTCAACAATGAATTATCAATCAGTAAATGAAAGCATGGATTTTTAATTTTATCATTTAAAATTTCCTTTTTTTTTAATTGTTCAAATTCTTCTAAAGCCTCATCTTTATTTGTTTGTCTTTGCTTTATTTTTCCTTTTGCATTTTTAATCAAATACCGAATCGTTCTTCAACTGCTATAATTTTAGTTTCAATAGAAGAATTCTGTTCGTCATTGAACTCATCGAGTAGTATACAAAATTCTGCAACTATTGAATCATTGATCAACACTTTCTTTATTTTGATTTCAGATTGTTTAAGTTCATCTTTCTCAATTATGTTTCTAATTTGTCTCCATAACCCAGCCAGGTATAAAAATGTTGTAATGGCATTAAAATGCCGTAAAATCGACATAATTTTAGTGGTGCGAAACTGTCACAAAAAATGCCCAAAAAATGGCTCACATTGGAACCATTAAAATGACTATTTTTTGACTAAGTGAAAATGGTTTTAAAAATGATAAAAGAATGCGTACCAGTACAACATAAACCATTTTTTGGCATTATTTGTAACTGTTTCGCATCGTTAGAATTATGTCACTTTGAATACATTTGAGTGCTATTCTATTAGATTGGAACATAAGTTCTGCACGTTTTTTTTTGTTTTTTGGGCAAGTTTGAGGCTTTATATCTCGTGATTGGAAAGTGTTCGAGGTCTGAAATTTTTTTGATGTAGATAGTACTCATAAAGATCTATCCATATTAAAAAAATCTCAGGCCTCGAACACTTTCCAATCACGAGATATAAAGCCTCAGATTTGCCTAAAAAACCAAAAAAAGAACGTGTAGAACTTATGTTCCAATCTAACATCATCACTAACCTTACTCGTACATTTTCTTTTATCTGGGTTTTTTCATCTAATATTCTCTCTGCAGTCTAGTTCGGTATATATTCTCTGAATATCTTTGCTGCTATCAGAAATAGTTTATCTACATAATTATACTCGAATTGAGAGTGTACTTTTAGAAAACTTTCCTAAAAAGATTTCAATTTTCCCTAGAGCTGAAACTAGCCAATGTTATCTAGTGTCACGTACTATTTTCACATATCCCATTTCGTTTGTAGAGGTATTTCACCCATCAAATAGAGTTATTTCTGTTGTTTTGCATGGCTCATAAACATCGGATGAAATTGAATGCACAATCAAAGACTTCTCTTTCATGCCTGTTAATTTTCTAATTATAATTATAATAACCTTATCAAAAGACTGTTTCAATTGATAACCTGAAACTTTTTTTTGTAAGATAAGTCTCTCTCAACGAAATGCACTGCTTTAAAATATTTGCATCGTTCTTTGACTGAAAACAAGATGTTATAAATTGTACAATCGATTTCATCAAATGTTTATAAGCCGTTTTGAAGGATACAGAAACTATACTGGATGAGTCAGAATACTATTCTATGTGGCTTTAAATGAAGCATTTTGGTGAAAACAGAAATGTAGCACGACCTAGTCTGCCAAGAAATGTTGAACATACAAAAAGAGCTATTGTTTCGTGTCGTTTATCAAGTTGTTGGCGTCTCGAGTCTTTCAAATGCTTCTCTTTTACTTTGGATGTAATCATTGATAACTGAGTTAAAAACCTTCAAGGACCTTATTTGAGAATAGAAGTGTGGAATGATTGTTATTTTCAAAATAACTATTTTTTAGAATTTTACGAAATGTGAATGTAATATAATGTATATGTCAATAGGAAGAGCACAAAATCCTGAGTCGTAACAGATAGTTACATCG